GGTCCTGGAAAGCTGCGCCGGGAGGAGAGGCTGTGGAGGCGGAAAACGCCTGAAATTCCTCTGGGTTCGGCCCTTCCACACAGCGGGAACGGGACAGGAAGGGAGCTGCTGCCCAGACGCTGGTGGACTGCCTCCTCCCAGCCATTCCTCGGAGCCGCTCTGTTCCTTTGGTGTCCCCTGAAGACAGCAGAGCTGCAATGGCCAGGCTGGAGGCCACAGCTCACAATGGGGCGGCTGCCGGGGGTGGGATTTTGGGAGGTCTTCCTGGTGCATAGTCCCACCCTAGGGATGCTCTGCCTACCAGCTCTGCTCACTGCCCTGGGGCAATGCTGGTGGAGAAGGTCTCTGCCATGGGGGTGGTGGCGAATTAGGGGTCCAGTCTGGCACCGTGTGAAATGGTTGATGTCTCCAGGGGCATGCATGGGTACCAGGCCCTGGCTTAGCCCAGCCGTGCCCCTTTCGTTGCAGGGAGCAAAGCTGAAGGTAGCGGTGGGGGTGCCCAGCCATGATGCCCTTTGGTGGGATGGCTGCTCGTCTGGAGAGGGACCGCCTGAGAGCCGAGGGGGTCGGCCAACACAACAATGCCATCAAGTACTTCAATCAGGACTATGAGGCCCTCAAACAGGAGTGCCTTGAGAGGGGCACGCTCTTTAGGGACCCGCAGTTCCCCGCTGGCCCCTCTGCCCTCGGATTCAAGGAGCTGGGGCCACACTCCAGCAAGACACAGGGAGTGGAGTGGAAGCGTCCATCGGTAAGTGCTGGGCTTGCTTCTCCTCGGGCTGGGCTGGAATCCCTGTCCTGCAATGTCTGCACTGATGTGGTTTGCTAAGCTGCAGCCTGGCCCTGGTGTGCTCCTCTCGGTGCTCAAAGTCCCTCAAGTGCTTCTTAGCCTCCTTCCCCAAGGGCCTAGAGCAATGCCCCAGGAGTGTCTGCTTAGAAAAGCATCATGTCTAGCAGTCCCTGCTTCCTCTGGGCAGCAAATGATGTGCTTTAAAATGGGTGGGCTATGCCATTGCTTCTAGGTGGCATGGCATGGATGTGTCACCCTTGGTGACTGGGTCTTTTGAGGGCATCTATCCCCTGGGATGATGAGTGCAAGGGGAATGCCATTAGTCCATGCAGTGGTATCCTCCTATGGCTATAACAGAAGATCTGGCCTTGCCTTACCATGATGGCCTTGGGGGCACAGTCAAGCAGATTTCCCTACCAAGGGTCAAAGTGGGGTGCATCTCTCACCCTTCCTCCGAAGTCAGAGCTGCAGTGGGTGCCAGCCACCCGAAGCCCAGGCCCTGCCAAGGTCCAGCACCACCATCTGATTCTCCTCTCCTTCCACAGGAATTAGTGGATGACCCTCAGTTCATCGTTGGTGGTGCAACCCGGACGGACATCTGCCAGGGGGCTCTGGGTGAGTGCTGGAGCTCTGTACCTGCACCTCAGTCTGGAGAGCAGTGTTTGGGGAGGGTTGTCATGGCTGGAGAAGAGGAGTTCATGTAAGGGTGAACCAGTTTCGCAGCACCTTTGCCCAGGCCCGTGCAGCACATTTTCATGCAAGCCTCTGCACAACCACCTCTGTACCAAAAGCTCCCTTCCCATTTAGTGGAAGATGGAAGTGAGGGATACCCTTTGCCTCCTGGTGGCTCTAGGTCAAGGCTGTGCAAAAATGGGTTGCTGTGTGCACAGCTTGACCATGCTAAGATCACGGAAGATGTTGGTTGGATTCATACCTGACACATGGTGTGAGTGGACACAGGCAGGACACAGGAACAACCACAAAATTGCAAATTCATTCTCGTTACCTCATAAGCTGGGGCATCTCCAATTCAGCACCCAGGCAAAGGCACCACGGAACTCCGTCCTTGCCAGAGTAAGATTTTTTACAGGAATAGTTTTCTACTGCTGTGCTTTGATCTTTCCCATGGCAGGGCAGGAGTCTCAAGGATGTTTGATAGGGTGCCTCTGAGCCTATCACAAGCCTGTGCTATCTAAGCACAGATGTTCTGCTTGCTGAGCACAGAAGACTAAACAACAATTAGTACGATACATGTGTTTTTCAACACCCCAGCTGCAAGTCACTTGAGCATCTTTGCAATCCTCCTCGCCACCCTTCTGTTATTATCCCACACACATGCCAGCAGCAACACCAGGAGCTCCTCCAAAGAGCTCCCTGCTTTGGGGAGCGGTGCGAGGTGGCAGCTGGGTGACAGTAACAAACTGAGGTGAGGATGTGCTGGTCATGACAAGGTGCTCGCAAAGCAACACGATGTGGCAGAAGGGAACTGAGAGGAAAGCTACAGAGTGCAAGTGGTGATTTGCCATTTCTCCAGGGGTGCTTCCCGAGGTAAAGGCACTGGGATTTCATGGTCATCGGAGCCATATCCAGGTACCACCAAGAGTGTCGTCCTGATCTGGATCAAGTTGGGCACTCAATTGGGAGTGTTGTGTACCACAGCACACACAGCATGCTGGTTTCAAGGCTGACCACATTTAATGCATCCAGTAATTAAAACAAACTTGAGGTGGTAACTGCAGCACGTTACAGCCTAGAGCGCTGCAGTGGTGTTCAATAGGTCATTAAAAAGTCTGAAATGCCATTTTGTCAAACCACAGCCTGGTACAGGTTCTCCAGGCTCAAGGCTAAGGCGTGACAGGCTTCAGAGGCAAAGAGAAAGAGGAACTGATCAAAGAATGTAAAGCACAGCACTGGCCTGGGGCAGCACTTGTGGTTACAAATGCTTGGAAGGGAAAGTGGGTGGTGTTTCCCAAAATTTGAGAAGCTGGGGCAGCAGCATTAAACCTCTCTCTTGGTGCTAAAGCTCCTACACATCCACCGCCTCCCCAAAGCCAGGGAGGCAGCACGGGCTCATGGTAGCTTCCTCTCCTTCCTCAGGTGACTGCTGGCTGCTGGCTGCCATCGGCTCCCTCACGCTCAACGAGGACCTCCTGCACCGTGTGGTGCCCCACGGGCAGAGCTTCCAGGAGGACTATGCTGGCATTTTCCACTTCCAGGTGGGCTGGGACCTCCTGACACTGGTGGGCTAGGGCCAGCAGGAGGGAGGGAGGTGGGCTGAGGGAATCGCTCTGGGGCACGAATGAGCAAGTTGCATGATGCTCTGAGCTCACTCTGCTCTCTCCTGATCCCCCAGATCTGGCAGTTCGGTGAGTGGGTGGACGTGGTGGTGGATGACCAGCTGCCCACCAAGGACGGGGAGCTCCTCTTTGTCCACTCAGCGGAGTGCACCGAGTTCTGGAGTGCTCTGCTGGAGAAGGCCTATGCCAAGTGGGTACCCCTGTGGTGGGTAGGGGTGGGACAGGGCACCTCACTGTGCAGGGCAGAGAGGATGGGGTCTTTTCTGTCCCTGGCCCTGCTTGGCCTGGGAAGCAGTAGGGTGCTATGTCCTTGTCCCCTCACGCTGGCTGGTGCTCAGGCTGAACGGCTGCTATGAGGCCCTGTCGGGGGGCAGCACCACCGAGGGCTTTGAGGACTTCACCGGCGGCGTGGCAGAGATGTACGACCTCAAGCAGCCGCCGCGCAACATGGGCCATATCATCCGCAAGGCACTGGAGAGGGGCTCCCTGCTGGGCTGCTCCATCGACGTAAGTGGTGCACCGGGATGGGCCAGGGGCTCTGCCCCAGTGATGGCCAAAGCAAGGCTTCGCAGCCTGAGATCGTATAAACAGTGCCCTTGCTGGGACATCGGGTGGGAGGTTACTTCTTTCCCCTCTTAGCAGAGCACCTTTCCCAGAGCCAGCAGTAGGGCTGCAGCCCAGCTGCTGGGATCAGGCTGCTTTGGATGGGGCAGGAATGTCCCTCTCAAGCCT